TAAGGTTATTGACGTTTTTTTTTATTAATAACTTTCCGCTTTCAGTTAAACAATAAATTACAAAATTTATTATTTATTTAACTTATATTAAACATTATAATATATGAATTATATCGGTACACATAAAACTGTCACCAGCGCAGTGCCTTAATTAACATATCCACTCTGAGTGATATAATTAAAGCGCTTTGAGCTCGATTACCCTAATTTAATTAATAAATTGAAAATCAAAGGTGAAACCGGAACATGAAAGAGTTCTGTTTCTGGTTCCTTACCTCTTTAGTATCGAGAAAACTTAAAACTGTTTTAAAACATGTACAGCAAACGAAAATTAAAACACCAAAGTATACCATATATACATATCACTGAGATGAATTTATCATAGATACGTACAGGCGCCGGTTTCAAGTAGAGCGAATTTTGTGACTGGGCAAAGGGTGGCAATGGTGTCGGTAGTGTCGGTAGTGGTGGATGCTCGGAAACAAAAATGTTAGCAAAAAAGTTCGAAAAGTGCATTAACCTAAAATACCCAAAGAAACACAAAACGCTTGGGGTTGAAACTAAATTACATACATTCACAGCTATTTCATCCGTCACACAAAAGAACATGAATACCTAAAAGCATGGATATTACAGAAAAATATAACAGCCATACGAAATGGTTGCAGGCACATGCTCTCATATCTCATATCTGCAGAGTGTGTTGGGATGTGCTAAAATGTAATAAAAGCTGCTTACTTGGATTTGTTATTTTGTAAACAAAAATTCAATACTTCAAATACAATACGAACGTCCGTATCTGTGCTTTTAGTAGCTAACGCAGTATTTATTGCGCTGCCACATCAACAAAACTGCAGATGACGCTCATCAACTGTGTAATCAACATAATAGAAACTCATCATTGTCGTTAGAATCAATATGGACTCTGTTTGTGGCACTCATAATTGAATGAAAATAAGCGAAACCCTAAAAAATGTATTTAAATTGCAAGTTTCTGCTGCAATGATTTCGTTAAACTCTGTAATTTTACTTGCCAACTGGGGTTGCCATGTTCCCGCCTAAAGACGTCCACATCATTGCAGCTCTGGCCATGGCTCGGCACTGCAATTTCGCAACATCAAAGCTGATTTGGTAGATTCATAATTTTATCCTCTTTGGTGTCGTTGGTGAACGGGAGAAACGCTTAATTTAAATTGATGTTGTGACATTGTGCTTTGTCCCGCATATTGTCCTGCATTTTGTCCTGTGGTCTTAAATTACAATTGCGTAAATTTATTTTCTTTTTTTTGGTTTTTTGTTTACTTTAACTGTTGATAGTGGGAAGAGTAAATTATATATTTATTGTTCATTCTTTTTTCGATTTTTATTGCAATTATATATGCGGTATGAATTTTACAATCCTAGAAAATTGATTCTATGTAAATATGTTGAACAGATGTGGGGGGAGTTTCAGTAATCAACCTGTTTCTAGAAGTCTGTAGAATATATTATATCTATGGAATATATTATATAAAAACTCGATAAAATTTATTTAATTGAGTATAAAGTATTAATATTGTTATTGTTGTTGAGATTTAATGGAATTGATAACAGCTAGCAACGTTACTTTCTCTTCCTCTTCTGCTGTTTCGACGTCCTAAACAACAATAATTTTCCTTCATCCCTTCGAACGAAATGCAGAATCCTTTATTTTCGTCAATAAACCTGTAAGCTAACATCATCTCTGCACAGACGATTGAAAATGATTAACCAGAACTAAAACTGGTTTAGTGTAAACATCGCGTTAATGCATTAATGGAAATACATTGCCAAGTGGGTTGGCGCCAGTACTGGGTTCTGCAGCCATATTTACACACTTATACTATTATTGTCTTTGCAACCCATACCATATTTCCACAACACAATAATTGTAAAAATAAATTTTTGGTAAAAGTAAAACAGAACGAATATCGTCACATCTTCTCTGTTATTTGAATTCGTCTAACTGAAGCTAAAAAATTATTGAATGATCATCTATTTTGTAAAATAGTTTATATACTTAAATCTTACATAAATAGACTTAGAATATACTTACACTTAAGTAAGTATTTACACTTAGTACTTTTTTTATTTATTGATGGTTTTAATTGAAATACACAGAGTTGTCAGAAACTCCAGAGCTCTCAAACCTACCAGGAATTTTTAAATGTTTTGCTAAATAGCTTATATACTTTAACCTTTATGCACCTAATTTTTCTTTCAATATAAAATCTCTAAAAATATCGAAGTTTCTAATATATCAGCGAATTTTAAATATCTTTCTAAAGTGAATATTCTGTAATTTTTGCAGTTCCACAAGAATAAAATTAAGTACGCTTACTAAAAGCGATACAACCAAACAATAAAAATGACCTGAAAACTTTCTTTATATATGAGCATTCTATGTTATCGATTGAGTTTTTTAATTTTAACGAGAGAGAGAGATTGAAGCTGATTTAAAAACTGTGTATGGATTACTTTCTTTGTTGTAATGTTTCCAAATTAACGTTTTGTCAAAACCCACGCCTAGGTATTACTTTGTATCACTTTACTCAATTCCATTTATATTGACTTTTAACATCCTTTTTCTTCTTCTTAGTTCGCCATTACAGACACGCGTCATCGTTGGCTGTGTTCAGTAGACTCCTTTACCTAATCCGATCAACGGCTTGCTGCAGTCATCTTCCACATTTCGTTCCATTTTCTGCATCTTTGATGCATTCACCGAAAATGCAAATGTCTTCTAAAGCGTTTTCCGCCAGCTTTGGGAAATCTCAAAAAACTTTTTTAACAGGAAAATTTTTCTCCATACACATGATATAACCAAAACAGTGAACTCGCTGTTTTTGTGCGCTTAATTATTTTAATGGCGTGGTAGAGTTTATACAGTTCAGTTTTTCATATAAATCGATATTTATTCCTAACACGAAACATACTATCTTTCATAATACTAGATGTTCACAAACATATTTTCTGAGTGTCTTGGGACCCACATCAGTGTTGACACTTAAAAGTTTGAAGTTGTGAAAGACTATTTATTTAGGAGCCAATGAAAAGATTGAAAATTACGTCAGCCTACTGGTTGAACAAGGAATTACTCTTGGTAACAGATACTATATCGGGATATATATACGATATAAAGTCCTCCCTCGAACACCAAAATCATGCTCTACAATCAACTTTTATCATTTTCCTGAGCATCTAAGAATCTAATGGTGTTAAAAGGAACTAAAGACTGTCTCATCTCTTAATATCTAAGCTTCTGCATTATAATGCTTCAAAAAATATTTATTTCCTTTTAGCACTCCTCGATTCCGATAATGCTAAGGAGTTATAAAAGTTGCTTTTGTTTTATAACCATTCAGGTGGATCTTTCATTTCTAAAAGTAAGTGACCGGATCATCAATATACGCTTGCAGAACATTGCCAATTTACATCACATCGTAGTACAAGATGTTTATATCATTAGCGTACCAGGATAACAAATTGGGTTCCATTTTTGGAATGCCTCCGGTATAAATTAAAAAACTCAGGAACTTTGTGAAACTTCAGCTTCAATTAGTTTGCTGGAGGAAAGATGATTCTCCATTTTACCTCGGAATTTTTGATTTATCATAAAGTTTTCAATTGTTCCTATAAGTTGAAGTAGAAAATGTTGATTGTCTATTTTAGTATATAGTCTCGTAAGCCAGACTTTATTTAATACTTTCCCGATATCAAAACTTATGACACTTATGACTTATGAAACTTATGAAAACTTGCGGCAGTCTAAAAAGTTACAGATCAGTGAAATGGTTTTCCATAAAAAAATATTTATATGAAAGAAAGTTTAGCTCCTTAGCGGCTTCGTATATCTATTAAGGTTTTTTGTTAATAAGAAATATTTTAAGTTCAGCTTTATTGGTGTTGATTTTTGTTGTATAAGCATTTGTTCTGCAAAGCAATATTATATGGAGTGAAATCCAACAAACTTGACTTAATCATGTTAGGTTATTTTATGTTATAAAGTTTGAAAATAAACATTTATAGATTAATTAATAAGTAATTAAGTTTATCGGTTACATTGCTTTGTGAATCTGTTTTGTATACATACCATATATCAAGATTATTATTTGCTGTCAGTCTTGTGGATCAATATTGAGACTTTAAAAGTATTTTTCCACTCATTATTCTAGAAACTTAGAATTCTAATTATTATTAGCGGAATTTTTTTTATTTTTTCAAATAAACTATGACGTCTTGTTATAACTGCTTAATTAATTAAGTCAATATAACTGGCATGAGTTTCAATTCAAGTTATTCTTAATCAGAATTTATAATGTTATTAAGCAACAATATTAAATATATAAAATAAATAATATTGGATATATTTTATAAATTATAAATGAATACAAAATTATCTAAATATCTGCAACCACTCTCCACTTCGCACTTTTTTATGTTTTTGCAATCGTGCAAAAATTTGCAATGCAAATGCTTCGCGGTTTAATGGTCTGCATTGTGGGAGCAGAACACTGAAAGTTATAAATTCTAAATAAGTATGAGAAACTCATACAACATTTGATTATAGTTTAGGAAATATGGAAATATGGACCAATGCTAAAAAATATTAACAATAAAGTTTGTTTCCTCATTTCTTGCGCTATAAATGGATGCTGCGCTTCTTCATTCAAACTGATTCATTCATTCACCGCACAAATAATTTGACAAAAATTTTGTATATATTTTTTTTCTTTTTGTTGTCACATATTAGCATAGATAAAGTTCATCTGCAGTTTGTGAAACCCCCTCGATTCTCTCTATTTTATTGCCATTCGAATTAAAGAAAACCTGTGCAAATAATTGAATTAATTTTTGACCGTGAATGTTGATTATAAATTATACGATAATCACTTCGGTTTGAAACTATCTTCAAAGCTAAAACGCATCGCAAAGTGTAAACAATTTACTTTTTAAGATTAAAAATATAAGCTTTGCCGCGATTTTATTTATATTTTATACTTTAAAATTAATTTAAACTACAATAAATATAATCTTACACTTAAGACAGCGTAAAATATTGAAGTCCATTCAACTATTGCTTTAACCTATTAAGAAAAAAGAAAATAAATTTAAAATGAATTGATATATGTGAGAGAGTTTGACAGTTTTTATGAACTTTTTGATATATATAAATGACAAAAATAAATTCAAAAAAACTATTAACTCATGTTGAGCTCATGTATTTTGTCATATATCATCACTCACCTCGCCAGGTACTCTTTATCAAATCTGCTGCCTTTTCTGCAATCATTACAGTTGCCGCATTGGTGTGTGCTGTTGGTGGAAATGGTATTACGCTGGCATCCACCACGCGCAACCTTTGTATGCCATGTACATTAAGTTCTGAGCTAACCACAGCTGTGCCATCGTTAACAGGTCCCATACGACAAGTGCCCACCTGATGATGTAACGTATACGACATTGTATGTATCGAACAACGCCAGTACTCATCACTACCAAATTTGTACTGTTCGCAACCCGGCAAAGGTACCGTGTGTATTCTTGTACCAATTTTTTGCATAGCATTTGTTTTACTAATGCGTATGGCATCCTTGATGCCAGCCAATAAAACTTCAACATCCTGTCGTTTGTCAAAGTAATTGGGATCAATAACTGGCCAATCTAATGGATTACGGCTACGCAGCCAAACACGTCCTGTTGATATTGGATGAAAGTGCATAATTAATACTGTGAAGTGATCCTGTCTAGTCAGCTGTCTATAGACTTTATTATAAATTTCATCTTTTATGTTTGCACTTTCCTTGATGGCAGTACCTTCATCAGATGCCAAACTGCCTGCAACAGTAACAATTTCATAGTCTGGCAAATCCGCCGGTCCTCCAAAATTTGGTGCTTTAGCGAATGTTAGCGCTTCAACGCCACCAATTGACGAGAACGGTGTAGTTGCATCCCCAGATATAAACTTGCGTATATTCTCGGGATGAATTTCAACTGTGGTAAGCGGGTTGTCTGTGGTATTTGTTAGAAAAGTGGGACCAAAATGACACATGTGATCATATAAATTTTTACCAACTGGCAACTCTTTGATAATTGGTATACCAACTGCTTTTAAATTATCTGCTGGACCCACACCTGATAGCATGAGTAATTGCGGTGTATTAAATGAACCAGCGGAGAGTATCACTTCTCTACTTGCATACGCTCTGTAATATTTATTTTGATAAATGTATTCTACACCAGTCGTTTCTTTGGTTATAGGATTTATGAGTAGTTTCGTTACTTTTGCGAAATTAATTATATGCAAATTTTTGCGTGCGTTACGTATTGGTTCTATGAAAGCACGATAGGCACTATTTCGGCGTCCATTTTTTGTATTTGCTTGTACATATGAAACACCCATTTGTGTTTGTCCATTATAATCGGTATATCTGTGTCCAGCTTCTTGTGCTCCTTTTACATATGCCTGCACAAATTTTGTACGAAAGCTAACATCTTCTACGCTCATAGGTCCTGTCCTGTTATGGTAAGGAGAGTTCTCCAAACCTGCTAATTTAGCTCTTTCGGACTTTAAGAAGTATGGTAGAACTTCATTGTAAGACCAGCCTATATTACCAGCGGCAGCCCAACGATCAAAATCATATCTATTACCACGGTTATATATCATGTAGTTAAGTGAGCTAGTGCCTCCTAAAACTTTACCTCGTGGTAGTGAACATTTTTTATCTCGCATGCCAAAGCAGGCTTTCTTCTGTGGCACTGATTTGTAGCCCCAATTTGAGTGAGTTTGTTGCATGTAGTTTGCTAATGCGGGGACAAGATGCATTAAACTTTCTACACCTCCAGCTTCAATAAGATAAACATTCCAATTGGGATTTTCAGTTAAGCGATTAGCTAGTGTACAACCTGCAGAACCACCGCCGATTATGATAAAGTCATATGTAGCATTGTTGCGAGGAGCTGTAAAATATAAACTATTAGTAAATAAACTAAAATAATTGTGTTCAGAAATGCTGTGATCGATCTTTTTCTATTATATATAAGGGACATTAAAGTATATCGTATAACCTTTTAGAAAAGATATTCAATTTAAATAATATATATAATGCAATGAAATACAGTAAAGAATAATCTTAATAAATAAAACGAACATGTCTCAAATTCGAGGAAGTTTTGACGGCTCCAAAAAGACGAAATTGCCGTTTAAAGTCTCGGCAAGTTCGAAATAAAATACATAATAATTAAACGTAATGAAAATACCATAAAATAAGATGTAATTTCAATTAAGTTATAGTATGTTAATTAAATACATCGTAAGCTGCCCTGATAGCACTATGCATATGTACAAGAAAGACTACACTCAATGTCTGGGTTTAAATGGCGTTGAGAACAGGTCTGTATCAAGACCTGAACTTCAAACACTGTTTGAAAACCCAAATTATGGCTAATCCAAATTTACTAGGTACCTTTAACGATCAATAGATCTATGTGAAACAAAGAGTAACCTATCCTTAACATATTTTAATAAAACTAATACTAAATCTAAAACTAAAAATAAAATAAAATTAGAAATACAATTATATAGTAAATGTTTTATAATAATATGAATAATTATATTACTTATATTAATCAGATAGTAATAAAAATAATAATCATAATAAATAATGTTTTTCAAATAAAAATTAAGAAAAAAATAATTGCTTTATATAAAACAAAATTAAATTTAATAAACGAGACTAATAATAGTATTTTTTCTATAAAGTAATTGGAAGTAATATATACATATAACATTATTAAATACATTAATATATGAAAATTATTAAAAAATTATATTTGTCCAAAAAAATATAAAAAAAAAAAAAGTGTGTGGTGTTATATATTTATTAATAAATAAAGAAATTAGTTAATTAAGGAAAATTATTTTATTTGTTTTAACAAAATTATAGTAACAAATTAATATTAATAGTTAAATAAACATAAATAAGAAAAGGATATGAATTAATATTATATAAATTATAATAATGCATTATATAGTTTAAAATGAGAATTAATAGGAGAATTTAAACTAGAAAAAAAATTATAAAAAACTAAAAAACCACCTTATAAATTAAAAATCTTTGTATATATGTAAAAAATTCTCAACACCCTAGCATCGAGGAACTATGTTATTCTTACGTGGGTACCGGGACACGAGGGGCATGAGGGCAATGAAATAGCAGACATATTAGCAAAGAAGGGTGCATGTACTCCTTTCATTGGGCCAGAGCCCTTCTGCGGGGTAACAAATAGCTTCACAAATAACTTATTATGTGAACGGGAGAAACAGCATCTACTTGAACACTGGAGAGCCCAAACAGGCATGCGACAGTCAAAAAGATTCATTGATCCTGAACACATCAAAGTTGATGCTATCATCAACCTTAGCAGAAATGATATCAAAATCTACACTGAACTTCTTACAGGACACTGTAGACTTAATTACCACATGAAGATTATAGGTGCGGTAGAAAGTGATTCCTGTCGACTCTGTCATGAGGAGAAGGAAACATCAGAACATGTTCTATGCAACTGCCCAGCGGTGGCAAGACGTAGACTCGATTACCTTGGTAGCGGGATCCTGGTCCCAAATCAAATAGGTAAAATTAAGCCCACTGCAATTATAAGATTTATAAATAGTCTAAAATTGTCCTAGTTGGGCCTATAGACGCACAATAGATCTTTTAGGTCGGGATGCACAAATAGCCTATTTAAATAATAATAATAATATATGTAAATTAAAAGTGGATATATATATATATAATTATACATAATAAATAAATAAATAAAATAGTAAATATCTAGATTTAATATATAAAATAAGACAAAGGAAATAATAAATGAAATAAAGAAAAAGAAATTAAAATAAAGTGTAAAATTAAATTAAAAAAAAAACACCAAAGTAGGTGATCGGAAATTAATTTTTGCACACTTTTTGTCAATATATTAATTTCTTAAGTAATTTATCTTTTAAGTCAACTTAATATACTTAATGATCTTCTTTCCACTCTCATTTCGAAAAGCAGGTTATGAACCTAGTTTGTCGACAAAAAGATTTATTGTTTATTTTTTAAAACTATGTTCTATAATAAAACATTAAGTGTCATTTTTCTGTTAAAAATTGGAGTAAAATAAAACGTTGACATAAAGGAAATATATTGAATTAAACTTGATCTTGCTATTATAGAGAGCTATTAAAGTTATCTTATCAGAATATGCTAATAATGATGTATTTTCATATATTATCAGAATATGTTAATAAAGATGTATTTTTATATATATCAGAATATAATCTTCTAGTGTCAAATGAATATATTATATTTATTATATTATATTATATGTATATAGATATTTATATGGGTTAATATGTTTTTTTAAACATTTGGTTTTTATATTTATATAAAATAACATTATTAAAACCGTAAAATAAATTATAGTTAGTATAGGCGACGATATTGTTGTAGAACTTTTTGCAAACTTTAAAATTTTTTTTACTTCCAATTAAATTAGTGTTTTTTATTTTTAAATAATCGGCTATAAATGCACCCTGACCTAAAAGATCTAAAACCTAACTAAAATAATTCTAGTCTATTTATAAATCTCGTAATTGCTGTGGGCTTAATTTCACTTATTTGTTTTGGGACTATTAGATAATAAAAAAATAATAGAACGCCAACTCGAGAACATATAAATATGATTGTTAGTATTATGTATTACTTTTTTTGCTAAGAAGTGACTATGTCGAGTACTATATGTTATGGTTCTGCGAGAATTTTTTCTACATTCTATATTTTGAAATTAAAAATATGTATACGAAATTTTTCCACAGAAATTTTTTTTTTCATTTCATATTGTTTTTAGTGCAGTTAGGTAATATTTTTTTATTCCTTATTATTTTTATATTTGTCATATTTTTGGTGCTGTTAATTGACGCTTTATCAATTGCTTATTTTAATGTATTGTAATTATTTGAGTCAAGCCGAGCATTGCCTATGTACGTGAGTGGTGACGGGGTTTACTTTATCATTGATATGAATTTAATTTAATGAAGCAATTCATATGCAGTGAAACATGTTCATGATGTAATTATTTTAACAAATTATGTTAATTTTTTTTTAAATTGTGCTTATTTTTTGGTGGTATATGTACTGCTATACTTTCTCTCATTAAATTTTTTATTAATGAAAATATTTTTTTCAAATTTATTTAATTGTAAATAATTCGATACAATTTCCTTTAACTTATGTTATAAGTTTTAATACCACTTTAATATTTTACTTAGTTTTATCTTTTATCTAAACACAATAACATTTTCTCGACTAATTTACTAGTCCTCCAAACATTTTTAATTTTTATGTAACCTCACAGTGTTATAATGCTCTTTAGTCTTAAAATTTGCACTAACAAACTATTACATACTATTAGTACATAACTTTTATTATGCGTATCAAGATATATATCTTAAGATAATATCTGTTGATATTTCCTTTTTAAATACTCACTTTCAGAATTTGCTTTTTGTTCTGCGCTGTTAACAATGCCGAGTTGAAAAAAATTAGTAAATTTATTCGATGTTTGGCTGTTGCCAAGATTAAAACAAAACATAATTATTAAAATAAATTTTTCTTTGAAATACATTTTAAAGTATTTTTTTTTTTTTTTGTTTAAATCACTTTTAATCTTTTAATAAAAAAATATTTTTTGCTAATAAAATCAAAAAATAGAATTTTTAAATTATATTTTAGGAACTTTTTTGTCACAAAAAAAAATTAGTTTTTGTTTTTGTTGAATTATTTTGTAGTGTATTTTTTTTTTATTTATATTTTAATATAAATCGTTTTTTTATGTTAAATTAAAAAATTGCTCCAAATTCCTCGTGCTTATAAAATAATTTTATTAGATATTAATTTGATACAAATGATTTTTATTTATTTTTAAATATTCACATTTCAAAATCAAACTTAAAATTTAAATGCATCACGCGTCGATTTACTTCCATCAATAAGTTAAAAACTTAAGATTCAGTCGTTTTTATTTATTAAATTGAACACTCCAAAATCACCAATGGTTTCAATTTATAATTCAATAAATAAATTTGCCAAATTTGCAAATTTGCGAATTTTTTTTTTATTTTAATTAATTTATGCATTCTCTGCTTCTTTAACTTAACAGTAACTTGCAATGTTAATAACATAATGCTGTTTGCATTTATCTGTTATGGGCAGATATTCTCTTATGGTTAAACATTTGCAATAAAAATATTGTTTTAAAGAGTATTTTAATTAACAAAATAAAGTTGCTCTTAATTTATTTTAAAATGATTTTAATTGGAGCTTAAAAATAAGAAAGTCTGTAGCTTTTAAACTTTTATTGAAATAGAATTATATTATTATTTTAAGCAGGAATTTTATTAAATTGGAGTATGTTAACATTGTATTAAGAAAAAATCTTTTAAATATTTATTTTTTTACATTAAGGTCGTGTGCGAGTTCGTGTAAATTGATGGTAAATTGTAGGAAATAGTAAATTATGTCGGTATGGCGGGGAATGTTGGTATTTACCAGAATTTCGAGTTGGGTAAATTAGATAAAAATTAGGTAAATTAAATGTTACCATTGTAAAAGTTTATAAAATGTTTAATAAAAAAATAAATAAAATTGAAAACTTTTAACCAAAAAACTTAAAAAAAAACAATAAATAAATCAATAAATATTAACATAAGTGCAGTAAAAAAAAATCCCTAGGAAATTTCAATGCACTTTACCTCAATTCACTCGAACTCGCACACGGCCTAAATAATAATTTATTCAAGATATGGGCATATCAAATCAATTTTATGTTTAAATTGGTAAGTTTTTAATGCAAGTAATATTTATTGAAGTCAACAATACTATTTGATGTTTTTATTGTATTAAAAACATTAAGGTTAACTCGAAAAATATGTGGAAGGGCCACATACGTTGTCGTTATTAAATAGCGATAAGTTTGAATCGAATGTTTAAATCAAGTTACGATACTATAAGTCTTACAATTTCGGCAGTAATTTAACTATGCCTAAATTCGCCTAAAATATGCCTAAAAACAATTGAATCACTATGGCATTAAAAATAAGAATTTATTGGTCACTAAATACTACATTAAGTCCATTGCAGTTGTGTAAACATCTTCAGCAAATATTCCCAGTTTTCATTTGAAATGTAAGTCGAGCTTTTAGATTCTACCGCATAAATAAGATACTACTTTAATTATTATAGCAATGGCTGCAATTCTGTCTTCATATAAAAAAATGATCGTTCTAAAGTTATTTCTAACGAGATAACAGCTGAAGCATTTGTAACATTAGTTTTATTGATTTAGTGTTGTTTTTTTGTGAACATTTCTTTTTTTTAACATTATCAATTGTGTTTAATAAAATAAATATTTATTCGGTAAGAAAATATTACACTTAGTGTGGTTTTGAAATTTGTACTTGATTATTTTGTAATTTTTTGTATTTTGTGTGCACTTCACACAATTAGGTTGTCCAAATTTAAATCGCACATGTCTATGAGCCTAATTCCATATTTCCATTGCTTACTAAGTAAGTTACTTAAGCAACTTTAAGATTTTGTCGTTTACATTTATATAAGTTTCTTATTGCATGTAAAAGAGTGCTTATGTGCCAGAAAGTTCTTTGAAAGCTTTAGGAAAGCTTCGCTGTTTTTATACATAAATTTTTAGTTGTTAATATATTACACAAAAAATTAATTATGTATAATTAATATATTAAATCTTTTGTACATATACATATTTTATATATCCATTACATATTCAATTAATAAAAAAAAGATTAACTCGTGTCCTGCCAAATTTGAAGCTCAGAGTCAGCGCACTTTAATCAACTGACCAAAAGCCGTACTTGACTTTTATGTTCGCACATTTTTCTGGTGTTTTGTTACTTTGCTGTAAAAGTTCGTTAACACATTCATTTCCTGTATTTATATTAGAACGAATTCATTAATAAACTTTTATTTTTAATTCTAAAATTTCAATACTAAACTTTTTATTAAGAAATAAAGGAGGGCGTACTTCAGTCACATACATAACATCTTCGAGGAATTTTATGAAATTAAATTTAGTTAAAATAATTCAAATTAATAAAAATTTCTTTTTACTTTTACTTTTTCTACAGATTATTTATTTAAAAAAGAATTTTTTTAACATATATTTTCAAAAGAATTTTTTTAACATTTATTTTTTTTCAAAAAAATATTTTTAACATTTTTTGTTTTAATTTTTAAAATAATTTTTTTTTCATATTTTTTTTTTTAAGTTTCAAAAAAATATTTTTTTTATATTTTTTTCATAATTTTAATTAAAGAATTCAAAAAGCAGAATTAAAATTACTTAAAAGGCAAAAGCAGAGAATTTTTTTCTATAGGGAACAATAAGCAATGAAGAAATTCAACAATAAAAATTTATTTTTAATTAAATAAATATTTTGGGTGTGTCCATGCTACTGTTTTGGATATCACCAACATCTGTTATTTTAGCAAATATTTATTGATTTAATGGTCTGTATGTAATATTTAGATTGCAAATGACAGACTGAGAACTTTAAATATATTTATTTTGAAACGTAGACCTACATGCTAAGAAACCCAAACTTTGTATTCACTATACATTGCTTAAGTTTCTAACGCGGCTTTCTATGTCTTCCTTTTGAGTTTATCCCCGAACTAATGTTGTCTAAATTGGATTAATTTGGAACCTTGACTATAATTATTTTCTCTTGATAGTTATTGCTCATTATTTCTTTGGATTTTTTTAAAACACTGCATACAATTTCTATGCTTAAATATTAACTAATTGAAAAGAATTATTGTTAAATATTTAAGAGATTAAATAAATTTAAATATAATAAATTAAAGTGTATCTAAACATTTACTGACTACTAGCTTTTAACTTATTTTTTTATATTATTATTATTATTTTAACTCTTAATCAAATAAGTATTTCTAAGAAGATTTGCATGAAATCGTTGTTGCCAATTAAATTATTACCGTACATAACTGTTATTAAAAGCACTTATAATGCTACTGAATATCAACCAAAAGACTTAATAATCTGGAAATACTTAATTAAAGAAACACTTAATAAATTATTTCCTAGCCAAGATGTAGAGTCTAGAGTCTGTGATGACTCTTCAAATCTTACGCACGTCATGAAATACTTCAGTGAGCTCACGGTACTTGGCATATCCATAAACAAGTTTTTGAAGTTGAGTAAGGTCCATGCCAAGATTAGCTTAAACTAAAAATATGGCTAGACTACCACATGAACGCATTGATTAACACCTTCTATAAAAAATGAAATTTAAAGAAAAGAAATAAAAGTAAAAACATAAAGAAAAATAAATCAAATATCGAATATACATTGTGACCGAAAAGCTTTCGGAAATTCTCATTTAAAATTCGCGCGCTGTATATTTTTCGATATTTTAAGTTTATGTAGTTTGGCAGCACTTAAGGACAATTACTATGCCAAAAATGAGCGCGATCTGTCAGACAGTTCGTTTACGGCAGCTGTTGAAACCAGTTCACCTCAGTAGTGCGTTGCGAAAAAAACAATGGAAAAAAATATTGAACAAAGAGTTTGCATCAAATTTTGTTTTTCGAACGAAATTTCGTGTGCAGAATCGTTGCGAATGCTACAAAAGGCTTATGGGGAATCAGTTTTATCGAAAACTCAAGTTTATGAGTGGTACAAAGCCTTTCAGGACTGTCGTACGACCGTCGAAGACATGCCGCGTTCTGGACGACCTTCGACCTCTACCACCGACGAAAACATTGAAAAGGCAAAGGAAATCGTGTTCAAAAATCCTCATGTGAGTGTTAGAGAGATAGCACGAGAGCTAGGCATCGGTCGTGAGATGGCTCGTTTGATTTTGGTGGACAATTTGTGTATGCGACGTGTCAACGCCCGGCTTGTTCCGATTCACCTCAATTTGTTCAACATTATCAACGATTTTAAGGCCAAACATTCAATAAATACCATCGAACAGCCACCGTATTCACCTGATCTTGCACCGTGTGACTTTTTCCTGTTTCCCAACCTCAAATTACCACTCAGAGGAACGCGTTTTGAATCCATAGAAGACGTAAAACAGAATTCGCAGAGGGAACTCAAAGCCATACCGGAAAGCGCCTATAAAAAATGTTTTGATGATTGGAAGAAACGTTGGCATTTGTGTATCGCTTCTAATGGAGCATATTTTGAAGGAGATAAAATAAATATTGATGAAGATTAAGAATTTTGCGTTTTATTTAAAAATTTCCGGAAACCTTTCGGTCACAATGTATTTTATTTTTTCACTTTTGCAAAGAAATCGAGTCGAATTAAACATGCAAAAAATATTTTTTACAGTTTTATTTTGGCTATAAGCATTAACCTAATATCATACGTTTAAAGTTATTCACTAAAATTAAGAAACTTATAAGAATTTCTATAGTTAAACTAAAATTTATGCCAGTCTGAGCGTATCATATCAGCCGCTTTCTCTCCAATCATAAACGATGCCGCATTTGTGTGCGCAGTTGGTGGAAATGGTATTATGCTCGTATCCGCTACGCGTAAATTATTAATGTCATGCACTTTCAGTTCGGGACTAACCACAGTTGTAGGATCTGTTGCTGGTCCCATGCGACATGTGGCCACCTGATGATGTAGTGTATAGGATAGGGTGCGTATAGAACAGCGCCAATAATCATCGCTACCAAATTGATATCCTTCACAGCCAGGTATGGGTGTTGGTAACAAACTTGTTCCTAATCTTTGCATGGCTGGAGTTTGAGAAATGCGTATTGCTTCTTTTACGCCTTCCAAAATAACTTCTACATCTTCAGTTTTGTGAAAATATTTAGGATTTATGCGTGGCCATTCAAATGGATTGCGATTATGCAACCAAAGTCTACCAACAGATTTTGGATGAAATTGCATTACTAGCACAGTATAATGATCTTGTCTAGTATTTGCCAAAGGACGATACATACGATCGTATATAATATCTTTTATATTAGCACCTTCTTTTAAACCGGAACCAAAATCTGAAGCTAAACTACCACCAACTGTTATGATTTCATAATCGGGCATATCTGCTGGTTCCTGAGATTTTGGCACTTTACCAAATGTTAATGCTTCAACACCACCAATCGACGATAGCATTGTGTTACGATCACCAAATGCATACTGTTTAACTATATGTAGGTTAAGGTTTCCCGCCGATACTGTTGCACCTGTTGTTGTGTTAGTGATAAATGTTGGTCCAAAGTGACACATATGATCATAAAGTAATTTGCCCACTGGTAATTCTTTAATGATTGGTACACCAATTGCATTTAAATTATCAGCCGGTCCTACACCTGATAACATAAGCAACTGTGGTGAGTTAAAAGAACCTGCAGATAGTATAACTTCTTTGCGTGCATAAATTTTGTAATAATTATCACGATAGTATAATTCAACACCATAGGCAGTTTTCGTCGCAGGATCTATCAATACACGTGTTACTCTAGCCATAGTTACTATATGTAAATTTCTTCGTTGGTGTCGAATTGGCTCGATATAAGAACGAAAAGCGCTATGCCTACGACCATTTTGTGTTGTGGCTTGCACATAAGAGGTACCCAATTGTGATTCGCCATTATAATCGGTACGCTTGTGTCCACGTTGTTCAGCGCCTTGTATAAAGGCATGTACAAATGGCGTGCGATAACTAACATCTTCAACACTCAAAGGTCCTGAATTATTGTGGTAAGGTGAATTTTCCAAACCAGCCAAATTTGCATTTTCCGATTTTAAAAAATAGGGTAAAACTTCTGCATAAGACCAACCACTACTGCCAGCAGCAGCCCAACGATCAAAATCACGTCTATTGCCACGATTATATATCATAAAATTAATAGAACTCGTACCTCCTAAGATTTTTCCACGTGGTAGCGCACATTCATTGTTGCGCATGCCAAAGCAGGAATGCTTCTGTGGTACCGATTTGTAGCCCCAATTAGAGTGCGTTGTCTGCAAATAAGGCGCCATTGCCGGTACTTGATGTAAAACACCTTCGGTACCACCTGCCTCTATGAGATACACTGTCCATCTTGGATTCTCTGATAAACGATTAGCTAAAACACAACCTGCTGGGCCGGCGCCAACAATGATAAAATCGTAAGTTGACTTTTGTTGTGGAGCTGTAAAAAATCATTAATCTCCTTTTTTTTAGAAAATTCCATCTATCATTTTGTTTACTCACCATCAGCGTAAGCATTTTGAAAGAGGATGTTGTGTAAGCCAACGTTAAGCATTTGCCTTAAACTCTCCACATTGACTGGCGGTTCATCGTTGATTAGAGGCGTCACTTGGCGCAAAAAAGTAAAACAAAAAATATATAATATATTCCTTAGCATTCTTGACATTAAACTGTTTATATAAAAAAATTTTTCTCCCTTTTTTAAATTTTAAAAATTTACAAAAATTCACAAAAATTCGTTTTGCGCGCTTCTCGTCTTGACGACTTGACAACTTGACTTTCAAAATTTAAATGTTGCAGTGAAATTTTTTCAACATTTGCTGTGGTTCTTTGTAAACCGAATTCATTTTTTGCTACTCATTTTAATTATTAATTTTCTGGTATATATTGTTTTTTCGTATCATTTTTTATATTGTATATATAGCATATGTCTTATTAACTGGATTTGGCTGTTAATTCAGTCAGTCATTTGCTCTTTTACTCATTATTATAATTTTGTAATACTACTCTGCCTTTGGCTTCAATATTAATTCTGCCTAAGCTCGGTTTTTGTTTTGCTTCTGCATTTGTTGATATCAAAACAACACTGCTGGCTTGGAAATTCATACCATTTATCGATTCATTAAACAATTTCAATAATTTATGCGTTTATTTAATCTTGTAGATTTTGAATTTTTGGATGCGTTTTGACCTAAACTGGTTTCAAAATTTCTCATGGTTGTAAGTTGAAGTCTCTGCTTCAGTATAAAATGGAATTGAAGAACTTCACAGTTTTAATGCCAATTAGATGCTTTGATTAGTAATGAAAACAGCTGTTAATAAAAATACAGTAATCTCTTGGCTATTCGTATTTGAGCAAATAAATTTCAAAATAAATATATGTTGGTTTTATGTCAGTCAATTTAAAATCAGTTCACTGGCATATTCTTTCATTTGCCGCGTTCCAATAAAAGGAAATCCAATACTCTCATTCAGTTGCCCTGTAAAGATATTAGTCTTGTGGTAGATTACTCACAAGCCATTGCAGATTAGACAACCATACTAGCGGATTGAACCTCCTTCCCAATTATATCTCTCATCTACTTTTTTCTTACCCAGCACATGTGTGGCCTCGCCTTACTATTCCACGGGGCTTCTTTTCGAAGGATATTGGTCAATTATAAAACTTCCCATTAAATAGCATTTTAACCTTTACCAAAGGTTCAGGATGGTATTAAATCATTGAATTTTTGTCATATACGGTAACACAGTGTGCCGAATTGGAACCCTTGAAACTCAATACAACCTAACCTAATCTATTCTAATTCTTACAGGTGTTATGACCTTAGAAACTCCTGTAAAACGCATAGTAAAACAGGAATGTCTATGTTAAGTTGCTATCATTTTAAAAATATAGTTTATTTTATTAAAATCAACAATAAAAAACAATAAAATATTAACGAAAAAAAGTAATAGAATCTAGCTTAACCATATACTTTCACTATATCATATGGAGTTAAAAAATGATTCAATGAGAATTTTTCATTTAATAAGCCATCCTGCTAGCATCATGTGGTATCGTAACAGGCCAATTTAGTTATTTCTTTCTATATATATTGTAATTTAATTTTAATCAAATTATATATTTTTTTATTAAATTGATATTTCTGCGTCTCCCTAGTGATCTTCAACGTGTTTAGTCCTACATACCTACATAGTATGAGAAACCATCTATAGTCGAATGTTGTAAATCAGATTAGTTTATTATATCTCATAGCCTCTGGACACTAAATCGACCAAAATTTTTCTATTATTATAACAAACATTATTTAATAAGATTTTAAGATTTTTGGATTTATTGTTACTATTAATATGTTAAGTTATATTCCTTGAATTGATTCAAGTTGGTTAAAGCAAAATATAAAAAAATCTGTAATTAAATCCATAGCATAGAGTTTGGGTAAATATTATTTGTTATATGTCAAATCAATTATTTTGTTTGATAATTTTTTTCTTAATTTTACGGTTCTCCTGCCTTCTGTATGATACAGCATTATAGATATAAGAATTCTATTGAATATCATTTAAAATACCACGGTAGCGTCATGTATCTAAAGAGCTTCAAAGATGTTTTTAAGATATTTAGAATTAAAAATTTTTTCGAAGGGATTTTTATCACTACCTACCCTATATCGTGGTTAATACTGACAATGAATACCACCTACCTTATCATTTTTTTGGTCCCATGAACAGGGGTATCGCTTTGATGTGGACTACCTTGCATATCTTTAATTTAAGAATTACTTTGGTCTGATTTGTTTAAAAAATATATTTACTTAAAGAATGCATATTGTTGACTTTATTTTAAATTGTTGGTTAATATATAAAGCAAATAACTTTTATGATTGAAAAAGTTACAATTGCAAATTAAGTTCATGAGCACTTTGAGTTTTCGTTACCTCAAAAAACATTTTAAGAAAAATAAATGCTCAATTTACCTTCTCGGTCGAGCGCACTCATCTTTAAAGTTCCCGTTTCAAATAACTGAAGTTTAGATATTTGAACTTTTAATTAATAATCTTATTTGTGTTAAAAATCGAGGTGTTATTAATCTCGAACTGTCTTAAATTTAAGAATGAAAAAAACGCAAAATTTTTTGATGCTTTTATAAATTAATAGTTAAATAAAACTATTCTAAATAAGCCATGAAAAGTAGTATAAAATTATTTAGCTTTTACACTTTACAAAAATATGAAGAATCTCATAAAAAAGTGCTGTTATAAGGCAATACCTTATAGTACCTTACATTTTATTATTATGTTGATACTATTTGAGGTATTTTCAAAACCCCTCTATACGCCTTGACTGGTTTATTGTTTATTACTTCATCAGACTAAGCAATAATTGACTTCAAATCTATATATCTTCCCGAGGACCCTGTAAGTATTCTGAGATTTGATAACGCGGTGTTGGTAAGTCTGTCAGTTTTCGCAAATAATTCCAGGGTTCTATCTTTTATGTATTTTTTGGGATCAATCTTGAGGTGCCTAAGGATGTCATTCGTCTTAATGTACCATGGTACTTTGAAAAGTCTTCGTGTTATAATTGTTATATATAAAAAATTGGAGAGGTAGGAATAAGTAAAGGGAGTTGATATTAATTTCACATTAAATAAAAATATAATTGGAATTATTTCTTTTTGAATATAGTTCGTAGTTTTTACTTATTATAATATTTCCACCAATTGTTTGATATGTTGATGTAAGTTGAGCATTGACTGCATGCATTGGTAAAGTGAAGAGCATAGCAAATCGTGTTTTGCAATTCTGAGGAGGAGCGTTGAAACTTTTGACCTAAAGGATACTGTAAAAATTGTTAATATCCTTAATTGGAATCATCTATATACTAAGTTTCTTTATGCTGACATTAACTAAAGTAGTAATAATAGTTAGGTATAAATTCGTTATAGAACTTCATTTAAACTACATCATAAAAAAAATTTTTAAAAACTGAAAAATATTGTTAGTTTATTTTATAGTAAATACTAAATTTTACTCTTTTACGTTGTTACCAAGTAGGTTGCTTCAGATCTTAATCACATTATAATTAAAACGTCATATTAATTAGTTTTTTTTATATAGTTAATTTAAATGTTTTTTTTTTGTACGTTCAATCAAACTTCCTTTGTCTTTGTTGTCTTCAACTTCTGAACAAAATGACTTCATTAATATTCATGATTTCGTTTTATTCATATATTTCTCCTATTTATTATGAATGAATTTTTTTTTTATTTTGTATTCTTTTTTTTTATTGCTATAAATACCTTAATTACTTAACAAATTACTTTTGTTTAATCATACAGAACGTTTCTTAATCGAGGTAAATAAAGCATTATGAAGCATATTTGTTTTAACATCATATTAACATTCATATTAAAAACTTATTTTTTTTGTATCTCATCTATATAAAAATAATATTTACTAAAATAATTATAATTCTTTATTAGTTAAATTTTAAAATGCTTAATTAGTAATCATATAAGTAGTTTTGTTCTTATTGTTCTACTATTGTTGAATGGTAGGTAAATGTTTGAATTGAAGAGAAGTCGAATTATCCTCAATTTGCTAGTTACATTTTTGAAATTTAAAAATAATTTTATAAATTTAGTCTTTCGTTCTTCGTTATTTCGTCTATGACATGTTTAGAAAATAAAAATTGAAAATGAACTCATGAACTTTATCTTTTCACAACAGATTTCCATGTTCTTTGTTCCTTTTAATCTTAAAATTTCATATAACTGCTATATAAGATATTGCATTTAATGAGTTTAGCGTATAGTATATAAACCATCCAGTCACATTTTTATATAATGACTTGGCTTCCGATTGGTCGTTGTTCAATTATGTTCCAAAGATATATAGAACTTCAATAGGTTGCATCACCGTTATTGTAAATATCTACATAGTTATAGATTAATACATATTTTAAATTTGTTTGGGAACTCTGCTATTAAAAACCATATAGCCAGAGCATGAGCTCTTCTCCCTGACATTCACTTCTCAGATATTGGCGTTATACTTGCAACAGCTAAACTGGTAATTAAAAAAAAATATCTGACAAATTCTGCTGTCAGATCTCTAGTTTGACTTGATCAAATTGGAACAAGAAACAGACCAGTCAGCTACTTCAATTAAGGTGGAACTGCTCAACATTACGGTATCGGTGCTGACGGGCCACTGCATAATATGAAGGTATGCTATGAGACTGAATCTTCGCTATAATGACGGCTGTGGCTCTGAAAATGAAGAAGAAACTGTTTCACCCCATGTGCCAGTGCCCATCTTTAGTGAGGAGAATATCAAAAATCTTAGGGGCCCCTTTTCTTACGGATCTGACTGAGCTATTATCCTGCAATTTTAGGAACTGGGTCAAATTCATAGAATTTTCGGATTGATTTATATTTACCTAATGGGAGAGTCGTGACCTTTTCTCGGCATTGGTCGTATACTGAACTTCTAGTTTATGTACGAACCAACGCTATTTCTGTGGTACCACAACGGGTCATTATTTGAGCTCAAGTACGCTTTCTTGGTATACAAGGTTGCCACTCCAACTTAACTTAACCTAACAGGAAAGTAAATAGTTTACTTTGGATTAATTACGCTGGTTGCAAATCTATTTATTCTACTTAGTAATACCATAT